CCCCGGCCGCGCCCGCCCCCCGCCGACTCCGCGGGGGCTGGAGCACGCAGCCTGCCCTGACCCGCTCCACAGGGAGACGACGGCCAGCGCGGAGCCCTGCACGTACCGCGGGCTGAAACACAAACTGGAATGGCCGGAGACCCCACCCTGCTGCGCTCGGGGCGCCGCACAGCTGGACGGCCACAGCCCCCGCCACCGCCTGCAGGCGCGGGGCTCCGGCCAGTAACCCTGCATCCCCACCGCGCACCGGCCCAGCTCGGCACCCCGTCTGCCCCCCAGATTCACGTGTGCTCGAGGCGCCCCCTTTTCCACCACGACCTCCTAGCCCTCTGCTCGCCACTCCAAAAGGTTTTCATTCCCCTAGAAGCTTCGCCGCCAGCCTCAAGCTTCGCACATCTGTTCTTTTTGGAAGGATCTCCGCCAGCGGACTCCTGCTCTCCCGCTTCCTAGGGCAGCCGCACCTCTGCGAAGGACCCGCATTGCCAGCCTCCGCGATGCGGACCTGGCTGCACAGACCCTCCTTCCCCTCTGTCTAGCTCGTGATTTTAATGTCTTACGTTTACCCAAATCGGCTTAATCAGAGGCCACGCTTATCTGCATTTCTATGGTCGTTTTTATTATTGCTTTTATTTATTTGATACTGGAGGTAGAACCCAGGGTCTTGTGCATGCTAGGCAAGTACTTTGCCATTGAATAAACTCCCAGCTCTGTAGTAAGTTTTTTTTTTTTTTTTTCGGAACCGGGGATTGAATTCAGGCCCTTGCACTTGCACTGCCAGAGAAGCGCTTATTCCACTGAGCCATCTCCCCGGCCCCTCTGTAGTAATTTTTAATTAAAGGGTTTTTGGTGTTTTGTTTTGTTTGTATTTATTTATTTATTTTTGGCGGAACCGGGCATTGAGCTCAGACCCTTATGCTTGACGTTTATCCTACTGAGCCATCTCACCGGCCCTTTAAAGCATTTTTTTGTTTGTTTGTTTTTTGTTTTTAGATGGGGGCTCTGGTTGATCTTGAACTCCTGGCCTCCAGAGGGGCTGGAATGACAGGCATGCCATCAGCCCAGTTTAGTTGAACATACTTTAATGAAGAAAAATCCAAAGTTGTAAACCCTAAATAAAATATGTAAGTTCTGTATAATACTACAGTCTATAGAATTTAGAGACTTGCATTTTTAACGAATATAGTAGATGTTAGTCAATCAGAACTTTGACCTCTCCATCTCTCCAGGAATACCTGGGTTAGTCTTTCATGGCAAAAAGACTTGCCTCTGTTGTGTGTGTGTGTGTGTGTGTGTGTAGGGGGGTGTTGTTGTTGTTTATTTGAGACAGGGTCTCAGTCTGCATGCAGGCTGACCTTGAACTCCCGGTGTAGTCCAAGCTGATCTCCATCTTCCTGCCTCAGCTTCCCAAGTGCTGGGATCACCCATGCACCACCGGCACTTTGTTGTGTTTGTACTTTTCTGCATCTCTATTCCTCTCCTCCAACTGTGTAGCCCTAATTAAAAAAGGAAATAAGCATTTTTTTTTATTATTTGTAGCTGCTGAGCCCTTCACTATTTCATATTTTAATTTTTCTTAACAGGGTCTCACTATACAGGTTGGACTTGTAGTGATCCTCCTGTAGTCAGCCTCCCCAGCTCTGGGATTATAGGCATGTCCCACCATGCCCAGACTTGGTTGCCAGCTCAGCGCACCCATCGGAGGGGCCAGCATGGCCTGCAGTACCTGGGATTGAACCCCAGTCCTTGTGCTGGGCTAAACTGCTGAGCTATCTTGCCAGTCCTCATATTTTAAAATTTTAAGCACAGTCAAGCATGGTGGGCACCTCTGGTCATCCTAACACTTGTGAGGCTGAGGCAGAAGGATGGAAAATTCAAGGCCAGTCTGAAACTACACAGTGAGGCCCTGTTTCAAAAGAAACAGTACAAAAAATAAAAAATACCCCTTTAAAAAAATCTCGGGGCTGAGGAGATGGCTCAGTGGAATAAGCGCTTCCCTGGCAAGCACAAGGGCCTGAGTTCGATCTCCAGTACCACTAAATAAATAAATAAATAAATAAATAAATAAAAGGTGCTGAGGAGATGGCTCAGTAGAATAAATGTGCTTGCCTGGCAAGCACAAGGGCCTGAGTTCAATTCCTGGTTCCACAAAAAATATATAAATAACTAAATAAAATCTCATTCTTTTCAAAACAAAATTGCTTTAATTTTCCCCATGGTTCTAGGCCCTGGTTCATTCTAGGGCAAGCACTTTCCCACTGAGTTACGACCCTATGCTAAACTACTAGTTCACTGAAAATGTTCACCTCCAAAATGAGAATCTTCTTCACTGGGGATCAGTTATGCTAAATAGAAAAATATCCTATGTTGGTCCAGAAAAGACATCAGGAGTGACAGCCAAGAACAACCTTTTCTTGTCAGCCCTATGATACACTCACAGCCTGAGATACCTTGAGGCCAACTTACCTCCCACTGTCTGCTGGGCCCAGATGAGGCCCACCCTTAGGGTCTCTGAACTCCAAGGACCAGCAGTGGCTGTGATTCGGGAGATACTTGAGCTCGCCTCCAGCTCTAGACTCAGCTTGTACAACTTCAGGCAGACCCTGTGCTGCCTAGCCGGTCTGTAAAAGGGAGGTGACATTACTGGGCTCCTGGTGTTCACATGAGGCTCTGGGCCTACACAGGGACTGCAAGGGGCCCTGCACTGTTCAGTCCCCGCCTTCCCCGGTCAGGGAAGCTGAACTAAGAAGTAGGCCAGAGACACAGCCAGCAGGAAGAAGGCAGGGCTTGAGAGAGAACAGACTCTTACAAGAAGGGTCCCCTAGCCTTCCTGTCCTGTCAGGTGGGTGGAAGAGCCTGCGAAGGGGAAGTGAACTCCCACCCCCTTGTAACCAGTCTCACTTCTCCTGGTGGGAGGCAGGCCATGGGTACAGGGAGTCTTGGGCTCCACAGTCCCAGGGGCCTCCACAACCGATGTCTGGGTGCCTCCCTCCTGGCTGTGGGAGCCCCCATGCCCTGGCTGGGACAGCAGTACAGACTAAGTGCCGTCCAAGGCCCCCATCCCCTGCTTAAGAGAAGCCAACATGAGCACCAAGGAGTGGAGGAACCAAAGGGAACTGAAAGTAACCCAGTGTGAGTGACATGAAAGGACAGAAGCCCACGGGCAGCTGAAGAGAAAGATACGCTCCCACATCCCCGCCACTCCATCTCTGCAGGCCTGAGCAGACAAGGATGATGGTTGCTTTTACAAGCTCCCACCTAGGAAACCCACTTCTTCAGGCCTGAACTCTCCCTCATCCCCAGGCTGGCCTGTTTCTGGCAACTGAGTTTCTTTTTGGCAGCTGAGTTTCTGAGGCCTTGTTGATTGAACAACAGATTCCTGGTGCAGCAGGAGCAACTCAGGAACTGTGAGACTCAAGGAAGCTCCACTCTCTGGGAGCCCCATTTCCCTGCTGTAAAGTAAGGGTGGTAATATCTCTGTCATAGGCCAAGCAAGTCTGCATTCACGAACATTTGCACCCTGTACCTGCTGGGGTAAACTGCTGAACAGATTAACTTTATCCAAACCCCTGCCCTTCTCGAACTTCCATTCTGTGGAGTGAGACAGGCCAAAACACCTTTTTTGTTCTCTTTTCTTCAGTAATGGAATTGAATCTAATCTCTTTGAGCTAAGCGAGATCACTAGACATATTCTTTATTTTTGGGGGGTCTTTTTTTTTTGAAACAGGTTCTCACTGAGTCACTAAGTTGTCCAGGCTGGGCTAAAACATGTAATCCTCCGGCCTCAGCCTACCAGAGTGCTGGGGTCACGGTGTTGTACACCATACTCAGCAAACATAAATTCTCAAGTAATGTCATTGGGTGGGCCTTGTGGGGCATCATACCAGCTGTGGCTTTGCTTGAGATTGGAGTCTCTGGAGAGTTCAGGCAGAGGCAGGACAGAATCTGATGTGGGTTTTAGATGACTCTGGTTCTTTGTAACAACCTGTAGTTTCTAGTAGCTTTATAATTGAGGCACAGGGCACAAAGCTGGAGCTTCTTCTCTGTTTCTTGCTAACTGCCATCACCTCAGACCTTTGTGGGGTTTGACCTGGAAGACCCCCTCTTGGTCAGCACTGTCACACCTAAGTTCTCCACTTAGTTTTGGTGGGACTAGGGCAAATTCTACACCCTGAGTTCTAGCTGCAGCCCAAGTTGGCCAATACTGTCTCTCTTGATGCGTTTGAGGTCTAGCACCTGGAGAGCTGGTTTGGAGGTTCTAGTAGGGCAATGCGGCTACCCACATACCCTTGACATATCCTTGACCGAGGAAATGGCCTTCCTGTATTGGGAGTGGGCATCCTCTTTCACTGAGCAGCAGCTGCAGGGGGACGTGCATGGAGTAGTAAGGGAAGAAGGGGACACCCACCCTGCCAGCCAGATGGGCTGAATCAACACTGGTGATCAGTGGGGTGACAGAGGTCACAGCTGGCTCACTCTCACGTCCAGCTTGAGGTCTGGGAAGCCGCCCAGATGCCTGTCTCCACCCAGGCCCAGGCTTCTGAGCTCCTTCCTCTCTTGGCCCCACAAAGAACGCTGCTTCTCTTTTCTTTGACTGCTCCTTTCCTCTCCCTGGTGCCCTTCGGCCTGCTCCAACCCTTTCCTTGGACTCAGTTCTGGTTTCACCTCCTGCTCCAGGCCCTAGACTCATAGCAACCCTACCAAATCCAGGCCTTCTGTGCTTCTGTGCCAGCCCCCTCCCCCACCCCTTCACTTAAAGGCTTAGATCTCAGCTGTTTGCTATGGTCTAGGCCTCTCCTATCTCAAGTAACTATTAGGTGAAGATGCCCCACCCTCCAGGCCAGCCCTCCCAGCTCCCACCCTGCCCTAGATGCTGTGAGACACCAACCCCGACTCCCACTGCATCTAATTGAAGCCTCCTGGGTCTGCCAAGCTCAGCATCCCCTGCAGCTCTTTGATGTCTGTGACCATCCTTGTCATGTCCTGGAAGGGCTGGGCATCCCCCTCAGACGAGGAGCACTTGCTCAGGTGGAAGGAACTTAGAGGGGCTTTTTTACTGCCCCCAGCTCTAAAGATGGCTGGCTTTGCAGTAGTAGGTCATCAGAGCATCCAGAAAGTTCAGTCAGAGCCGGGCATGGTGGTACACACCTATAATACCAGCACTTGGGAGGCTGAGGTGGGAGGATCATTGTGGATTTGAGACCATCCTGGGCTGCAAAGTGAGC